GGTCTTGATGAATTCTGGAATTTAGCAACGGCGTTAAAAGATTTCAAACCGGAATCTTAAAGCAAGTTTCAGTCTATCTCTTTCCTGTAAACTTGTGTTCTGTGCATTCTAAATAGACTCCAGGACGTTAATTAAACATTAAAAATGGATGTGTTATGCATAATTAAATCAAACTGTAATCCGTTGTTTGTTTTCGTTTAAAGTGTAACTGGTTTGGTCTTAAAACTGTTCCGAGTGTGTTAAGTTTTTGATAATCAATTCATAAGGGTTTTAAAGAGTTTCTAAGACTGATTGGATTTAAAGTAGATCCTAAGAAGTTTTAAAACAATTCGGACAGAGACTTGGAATTTTGCCGGTTTTAAATAACTGAAATCGGTTCACGCATAAACTATTTTGGTTATGTATTGAACTTCTGTAATTTAATTCCTAATGGAATGTGAGGAGTTTCTAGGACTGTTTAGATTTAAATTAGACCCTAAGGATGTTAAAAGTGTTGGGACAGGGACTGGAAGTTTCGCCGGAAGCGCAGAAGGCAACCGGACGAAGCAGAGAAAACGCATGGAGTAGAGACGGCTCTCAGGGGGGGAGAGCCGGCTCCCTAAGTGAGGGAGCCGGCTCCCATTAAAGTAGAGCCGGCTCTCCATGAGGTAGAGCCGGCTCTGGAAGATAAAGAGCCGGCTCCCATGGTGGGGAGCCGGCTCCCTTGAACAAATACCCCTTCGGGGGTATTTTTGGTATTTATTTTGACCTTGGGGCCTTAAACAGAGTTTCTGAAAAATAAAGGGGGTTCTAAATACTTAAAAATTTACCTATTGGAACCTTTAAACAGTTGGTTTATGCTAGGGTTTAATTCTAAGGGGCATCATGAACATAAACATTAGTAATGTGTATGCTGTCCGGAAGAAAGGAAGGGAGACGGAAAGGCTAGTTGTTTCCGCAAATTAAATGAACTAATATAACAGATATGGTTGGGATTTTATAGCAATGATGTCTAGGATATATATAAGTCTTAAGAGGGTTGGTTGGGTTGTGGTTGTGGTTGACATATAATTTTAAATATATATAGTTGCATGATGTAAGGAGTGGAGGAAGTTCTAACTACTGGGTTGTTTTCACCAGTAAAATGGGCTAGTATATTGTACCATTGGGGACTTATATGAGGTACAGTTTGACTTCTCTGTGTTATACTGTATCAAGCACAGGTTTTAAGTTGGAGGATTAAAAGACGTCATATAATGCAAACATAAATTTTTATGCCGTCAGGGGGTTAAGGAGGTTTGCATTACTAGTCTTTGTTTTAATGATTTAAATGAACTAGTATGAGGGTAGGGTTTGGGTTGAATGGTATATTGTGCTCAGTTCATAAGTCTGATAATCATTATACTCTGCTATGGTTGTTAATTGATGAACTGATTTAGTTTCTGTTTTGTCAATTGGATGGATGTGGATAATTTAAATTGTTTAACAGTAATATAACAATTTAATAAGAGTTTTATGATTATAATCATATACTGGATGCATAATAGGATCTTAATAATACCTGTTTTCTATTATGCTGGTTCATGGATATACTTGATGTTCTAATGAATGTGCATCACTGGTGGATCATTTGCATTATATGTACCGGTATGGAACGGTGACATATCAGGGATGGATTAGATCAAAAAGCTAAGTCCTACCCTTTCATACATACGGAATGGATTAACTAAAATAGTTAAATCCTACATGGATACATGTCCTGTCAACTAAAACAGTTGAACGACATAACGGATGTTTGTTTTATCTTTCTGCACTAGGAAGGAATTTATATATATATTTATGGTACCGTGATACGAGCTTGAGTCTCCTGATCATGGTTAGGGTGCGTATATTGCAAAGGTTGAGTAGCTGGATATAACTAATGTTCCCTGGTAGGTCTTGGTACTTGGCCGCTGAAAAGCGTGTTTTATATGTCACCTTCCACCCAGGCTGAACTATGTTATAGGCTAGTGAGCATCCTATAGTGTGTATTTATATATATATGGACTATTGTAGATATTGCCGAGCTATCTAGGATGTATCTGCGTATCGGGTTTATGTACGGATTGTAGTAGATTGGAACTTGCATGTGGGCCTGACCCACTCCTATTTTTTCAGGTTTTTGCCAGTTCCAGCTTAGAGTTTGATCGTGTTGATGCAGATACAGACACTCACTCTACCGGTTACATAGGATTTCCTTTCTATTATGGTTTTGGATTTTAATTCTGTAAATTTATCTAAAGATTTGTATTTAGGGGTCCACCAGGTGGATTCCCGAGTTGTACGGATTTAAATTATATTAATTTATTATTTTAAGTTGAGGATTTTTATTTTAGAATTCTTTCAGCGTTTTGTTATTTTCAAATTTTATTCCTGCTTGTTTACATATTGATTGTTTGGTATCTCTCGGATCTGTGCTCGGACTTGATCACCCGTGGCTCTAGAAACGAGGGGTATCACAAGTCTCAAATTATTGGATTGTAGCAAATTACCATCTTGCCCTTTTTGGACCTTGATAGTTGAATTTAATGTGAAAAGACCGTATTACCTTTGGACGATTCTGGGTCGGGTAATGACCCGTTTAATGATCCGGATCCATGAGGATTTGGGTCGTTACAAAATATGTTTGGTGCGGCCTTGTTTTATTTTAAATAGTGCTAAAACACTTTGTGAATAGTGACCCAAAACCAAAACACCAAAAAGATATTTTTTCTTATTTTGACAACTGTTCATGACTCAAAACCATAACTGTGCATGTTTTTGTTTCTGATATTTTCACAGCAAACTGCTTCTGATTTTTTTCCAAAACACTCTTGTAGCAAAAACACTGTTTCTGTTTTAGTCAAAAATAAAACGCCCAAAATAAAGCGTATGCCAAATGGGCCCTAAGGTGTTGTTTGATTACATAATTCATGTAAGTAACACTTAAAATAATATAAAATTTTAAATGACAGGACATCACTTATCACAAAATGCTGAATATTAAAAATTCAAAAAAAATATCAATTTTTTTTTTAAAAATTTTTAATTACCACTTAAAAATTTCAAGGGATAATTTCAGTGACACCCCCACTAATTTGGCCAAATATCAGTTTAAAATATCTTTCGAAAATAACTATCACTTAGATCCATTTTCACTTTTCCGTCACAGTCTCCGTTAAAAACATGTAAAAAGACAACTTTGCCCCTATTATTTTAATAACATATATTTCAAAATATCAGATTAGTTAAAAGACAATTACACCCCTGACAATGAATGAGCATTGGGCAGATGGTGCTGTTGGCCGTCGTGGTGGTGGTGGGTGGTGGTTCCAAAAGTTGAGTGTTGTAGAAGAGAAAGAGAAAGTGTAAAGAAAGATTGGTGGTTGGTGGTCGGCGATGATGGGGGGTGGTGGTGGTGGTGCCGCCGGCGACTGTGGTTGCATAACCCAAACCCATTTTTGTTGCGTTAGAGAAAATGATATATTTTCCAAATTTCGAATAACCAAAACAAAATTTTGATTAGAAGTGCCTCCAATCCAGTCCCCAAACACTGTTTGATTATTCTGTTTTCATATTGGTGTGTGTGATCGAGAGAGAAAGAGATGAAGATGAATTAGAGGTTTTGCACCAAACACGCAGATCCACTAATAAAACCACAAAATTGATCACAAATCAACCAAGCCACAGAAAACCACGGCGGCGATCTGTGTCATTCCACTTCCAATTCCAGCGACGGCGAAGAGAAGCGGACCGGACAACGGAGACGATGAGTAAACTATTCGGTGAGGACCAGCCGATCCACAGCCATCCTCTCTATCGTCGGCCACCATTATCCAAAGCTAAGCTCGCAGCCATTAAATCCCGCTGGTCGCCATCAAACCCAATCACGGCTCATCACTGGAATCGCAACTTCTTTAGTCGCTGATTCAATGTCGTCCCGAACCAGCCATCTCCACCGCCCGAGCACACTGTCGTCAATGTTCCGAGCACCGCTGCAAGCTCACCGCCGCCTTCTTCACAGCCGACACCATCAAACGATGGCAAATACAAGCTCAGCACCCCGTCACTGGAATTGCGCCACACGCGTCGATCGACATCTTCTTGAGGAGAGCAGTCGAGGCGTGTTGGAGGTCCTCTTTACGGCGATCGACGGCGATTGGTGGTGGTGTTGTGCTTGTGTGTGTGTGTGTGTGTGTATATATATATGTCTCTGTGTGTATATATAGGAGTATATATATATATATATATATATGTGTGTGTGTGTGTGTATGTGTGTCTGTGTGTGTATATAAGAGTATGTATATATATATATATATATATATATATATATATATATATATATGTCTCTGTATGTACCGATCAGCAGGAGGAAACAAAATTAAGTTTTCTGCCTTCTTGTTACCATCCTCTAACTACATGACACAAAGCAATAAATTAAGATATACCCAAATTGGGGAGTCAGTGTATTCATTCAACTAAGTGATTATCTTTCCAATGAATCAAACCTGAGAATCACCAGGAGAAAACGCGAAGCAACGCTGAACAAGAGAGGAAACGTAACCTATACACGTAGTGGAGAATTGCTCGACGAAGGAATCGAGATTGGGCGAAGCCGGACAATGGCATTTTCGATAACAGCGTATATAACGTAATTTGTAAATTTACAAATTTTTAAGGGGCCATGTTGTCTTTTAATACTGATATTTTGTAAAAAAATAAATTAAAAAAATGAGGGTAGACCAAAGTCAAGGGTCAAACTAAAGTCAAAGAGTAAAAATGTCTTTTTATATGTAAAAGTATTTTGACATACCTGCAAACTAACTTTTGGGGAGTGAGTGAAAAATAGAGTAAACATTTATAATGTGAGTGATAATTATTTTCGAAAAATATTTTAAACTGATATTTGACCAAATTAGTGAGGGTGTTACTGAAATTATTCCAAATTTCAATACCAGTTCTTAGATATGATAAAGTGAAATTCAATGATGGAAGTTGTCTAGTCGTTTCTTCATCAGTAGTTTGTCCCCAATGCCCCCATGTTGACGATATCCGTTGCCATGTGCAAATTATTAGTTTTTTTGGCTCCCACAACCACCATTACAATAAGAGGAAATATCTCCTTTGTTCTATCCCCTCTCTCTCTCTTCAATATAAATGAAGCAGAGATTCAATCCCTCCAATAATTCTGTCTGCAGATCAAGGGTGGGGTTTGGTACTAGAAAGATTAAATAATACTCAAAGCTCATCATCAATTCAGTAGAAAGTTTTGATTTTTGGTTTGGTTAAGATTTTGCTAATTGGTTCTCTTCCCTTGTTCCCCCTTTTGGGACTTTTTCAATAACCCTCGTTGGGCTTTGAACTTCTCTTGGGGCTCTCTCTCTCTCTCTCTCTCCAAAATGTGGGGTTCTACACTCTTGCCTCCTCTACAGTTGGTTTTGATCTCTGGGTCGTGATTTTTGAGTTGTGGGTTTTGTTGGGAGGCTTGTCATTATCATCAGTACACGGACTACAAAGCATGTCCTTTCATAGGGTTGTTTTCACTTCAGCTTGTATGTACTACTATGTAAATGGAAGAACTTGTCAATGCCTCAGTTCATGAATTTTGATGCGAGTTCTCTGTAAATTTGTTGATGGGTACTGGGTTTTGTTGCTGGATTTGGTTTTAAATCCATTTTTTGTTTTAGAAAGATGGAATCTGGGAGTGAGTTTTACTCAGTTGATGAGTTTAGGTTGGATGCAAAATGGATGGTTGATCCCAAGCATCTTTTTGTTGGGCCAAGGATCGGAGAGGGGGCTCATGCCAAAGTGTACGAGGGAAAGTAAGTCATACAACCTTTTTCTTTTTTTTTTTTTTCTTTTTTTTTTTAACTTCTTAGGTTACATTTTTATTTATTTTGCAAATTCAGAAGCCTCAGATAAGACTTGATAACCTGCAGGTGTTCTGCATTTATTTTTGTGATTTTTCAGAATATTGTAATTCAGTTTCTAAAACTTCTCAAGTTCTGTTTCATAGAGGATTATTTGACAATTTGACCCTTTTTTTAAAAAAAAATTTAGAATCCAGCTCATTATAGACAATTTTTTTTTTTTTTTTGGGGTATGATTTTCTTGAATTGCATATTGGTAGTTACTGTTTAGACTGGAAATGGACCTCAGACCTTCACATGGAGTTGTATTTCTTGAGTGATTTAGATGTCAATTTTCAACTAGTTGGTTGAGGTCATGCTGCTACTTAGTTGACCTTCACTTGGAGTAGTATTTCTTGAGGGATTTAGATGTCAATTTGTAACTAGTTTGTTGAGGTCATGCTACTATTTAGTTTATTGGTTTCCTTCAGATACAAGAATCATGATGTTGTTACTTAAAAAGTTCATAAACACCCCAGAAGAAATTTCGAAGAGAGAAGCCTCGGTTTGCATGAGAGGTTGTTATCTTGTCTAGAGTTCAACATAAAAACTTCAGCAACGGTCGGATATGATTCCATGGTTCTTGGGGTTGTTGCCAGTTGCATCTGTGGTACATTTGGACTATATCGCCAAAGCATTTAGATTTGTTTTGGTGATTTAGTCCGAAGAAGTGAAATCCTTTCATGTTGTCTTCGTAATAATACCACTACTGCGTCTTCTTGGTTGAGAAAAACAGTATTTAGACTTGGAAATTCTCAACTCATGTTTTGTTTATTAAGGAATTCAGAAGCGCAATCTTTTCTTTTTTTGCATGTTTGTAGAAAATATATGACTTTATAATGTGCAATCCTTCTGCATTTATTTTCTTGAATTGTTCAGAAAATTGAGATGCAGTTTTTACAATTTCTTGAGTCTCTATGTATTTGAAAATTTGACCTGCCTTTTGATTTAGAAACGCAGCTCTTAATGGGCACTCGTGCAATTTTTTTTTCCTTGACAAGGAACTCACACGCCCATTTGCCCTTTTGGAGGACTTGAACGTTCACCTCTCACTTTGGGAGGGCACTTGTGCAATTAGATATTTATGATTTTCTTAAATAGCCGAGTCATAGTGAGTGGTAAAATGGGGACTGGACCTCAGACCTTCACTTGGAGTTGTGGTTGTTAAAAATTTTAAATGTCAATTTGTGTCTAGTTTGTTGAGTCCATCTCTCTATTTAACTCATTGGGTTTCCTTCAGATATAGGAATCAGACTGTTGCAATTAAAATTGTTCATAGAGGAGAAACCCCAGAGGAAATTCCCAAGAGAGAAGCCCAGTTTGCACGAGAGGTTGCTATGTTGTCTAGAGTTCAACATAAAAACTTAGCAAAGGTTGGATTTGATTCCAAGGTTCATAGGATTCTTGGCAGTTGCTTACTTGCTTCTGTGGTACGCTTGGAATATAGAATACGGATACAACATCTGACAATTGTTATTGAAATGTTGTGTGTCAACAGTTTATTGGCGCTTGCAAGGAGCCTGTAATGGTGATAGTTAGTGAGCTTTTATTAGGAGGGACACTGCGTAAATATCTGCTTAACATGCGGCCCGGATGCTTGGACGCACATGTTGCGATTGGTTATGCACTTGATGTTGCTCGTGCGGTGGAGTGTTTACATTCTCATGGTATCATACATCGTGATCTGAAACCTGGTAATTCTATTATTTCCTGTTACACCATCGAATTCGAATGGTAAAAAAAAATTATGTTCAAGAGTTTAGCTGTGGGGACTTCTACCTGTTAGTTATAATCTACACAGTTTCAGTATCATAATTTTTCTTTCAGGATTCAAATACAAAGAATTTTATAAACTGATTTTGTTTGTTACACTTTTGGTTGCATGCTATTTCCGACGCAATAGATGTAACTTGGATGGTTTTGAATATTTTAGAATACCATCACAAGTTTAAAACTACCTCTTTGTAACAGAAATTATAATGTTACTTCTTTCTTCTTCTTCTTCTTCTTTTTTGGGTCATTGAGTTCATTCATAAATATCAAAGAGGATATTGGAGTAAATCCATTTTTCTTGACTAGGCATACATAGTGGAATGTGTTTCCATTCAGCAAGAAGCATAAAATAATTACACGAGGTAGTTTCCCCCCTCCTTCCTCCCCAAAACACACACTCACAAACTGGAGGAACCAAAAAAAAAAAAAAATGTTAATAATAAAAGCATTTCGGAAATCACAAAGACATGCTGCAAAGATGTAGGATTTAGACCAAGAAAAAAACATAATTCTCCTTTATATTTCTTTTTACTTTATGTATGTTATTTTCTCTTGTTTTTATTTATGTGGGCTAGTTCTTGTGCCATACCATTTTAAAAGATTGACTAGCTTGACCTCATGTTATATTATCCTCTTAAATCAAATAAAGCTGTGTTCTCTTTGTGAGATATAACTGCTAGGATTTCATAGCTCCTGGGATTTGGAGATCATAGTTCAAATCACTGGATTTTGAAATTCTTGCACTTCCATATCACGTTTGTTGTGGCATTCTAAATCACCGTGTAAAAGCAACTGATTCTACAAATCCCGCATTAATTCAGTTATGGATTAGAAAGTCCTTCCAAGATGCCAGCACAACCTTTTTCTACACGGCCAAAGACGGTGGAAAATGATATTTTATGCTCTCAGGCTCATTCTTCTTCTTCTTCTCAGTTGTTGAAGGCTGGGGGCTGGTACAATAGTTTGAGTTCTTTCTCGTACTCCCTTCAATTCTAGTCTAAAGCACTTTAGATACTTGTAAGATTTGGGTCTGATCCACCTTTGCATCAGATGCTTATTGCACTAAATTAACACAGATTGGCGGTTAACTCCAATTCAAAGCCTTAATTCAAGACCTTCAAGGCTAACCCTATTCTAAAGCTCTCTCTTCTCTACCTTTTTCACTTGCAGAGATCTCCTTTTGGATATTTCTCTGGTTCCATTTTTCATTTTCCTTTTAACTTTTCTTTTGGGGTAAGTTGTTTGAAACATCAATTATTTCTTCTTTTTCTTTATGTTGCAAACCCATGATCAGATTAGAAATGCATCATAAGTTAAAATTGTTTATTGTTTTGCTTTTATACAGTGAATATTAGAAGTTGATAATATATTCCTAAACAATGTTGGTACTGAAAAAATATATATATACATATATATAGTTTTCGATGTTTAGATCACACATTTTTTAATCTATAAATAGATTTTGCAACTTAGGTGCAGATTTGGGAGCAAATGTTCTCATCTTGGAGTTACAAGCAAAAGGTCTTGACTCATGCTTTTGAAATCTAAAGCTTAATAGAACAAAAGAGTTACAAATTACAGGATTTTAAATTCGCAAAATTTCAGATAGTGAAAATTGTAAATTCCCATGGACTTCAAATTATGTTAAAAGATGCAACCTAAAGGATTCCAAGCGACTTGTTTACTATAATAAAACTAGATTCATTGAAGAATTTATTCCCAAGAAAATAAATTTTCTTTAGATCATTGCATTTACATCGTCATGATCCTTGCCTTAATCCCATATGAATGGGGTGTGGCTCTATTTTTCCACTCTCTCCTATTACAAGTCATAACTCCTACAATATTTAACATTTTAAAATCATTTCTAATAATTTCATCCCATGTTAATTTTGGTTTTCCTCTCTATCTCCTACTTTCATTACATTTTATGATGGTTAAAAAAGAACATGTATGTAACTGTCGACGCAGAACTTGTTGCATAGAAGGCTAGGTATGGTTTATGTATACTTTATTTGATATTGGAAAGATCAATTTATCTCGTACTTTTAATGTTCGTTCAACTGAATAAAAAAAAATTATGGGGGTTCGGATTTCCCATGCAGAATGGTTTCTTTAGCAAAGAAATTGAATACTAATTGGTATCGCTGAATTGTGAGAGCTTTTATTGCTGAAGAATAGTAGAAATAGGTCATTACTTGAATTCATTGAAATGCTAAACCAAGTCCTCCTGGAATTATCTTCCATGTGTTGCAACCAAAATGTTCCACATTTTCTATGCCTCTGGATCATTGAACTGAGTTTCTGAAAATTGTAGCTGAAAAATCACTTACATGTCACCCACTCACCTGAGCTTGTCTCTAAAACATTGTATGTGCATTTTTGTAGGTTGTTTGAGGTGCCACTTTAAAAACATGTGAAAAGTGTTTATAAACCGTTCTTAGGAAGGCTTATTAGAGTGTAGAGTAAGAAATACATTTTAGTAGTAGAAAATGCATTTCAACAAGTTTCAGATGATCCCTGTTCCAAATATTTTAAGTTTCCCAGGGTTCCGAGAACACTTCCTAATAAGAATAGGCATTCCCATGTGTTCCTTGTGCACTTTACCCAAAACTTCCAAGAAGTTGTATTCCCTTTTAAAAAATATGTTTCCGAGGAATGTAGATATATTCCCTTTGGAGAGGTGGAGGACATACCATTCAAGCCAAGTTACAAGAAGAAATCACTTTCAGAGTGCATCAGGGTGTATAAAAACTAGTTGTCTTGATCTTTTTTCTGTATTGAATTTGCAAAAAAATTGTCTGTTTTCAGTGCCATGACACCAAAAGAACTCAATGCCTGTGATGCCTCTACATCTCCCAGTTTCGCGGTAAGGAGGGCATTCAAAAGCATGGTTCAGGAGTATGGAAAAAGTATGGAAGTTTATACCGAAGAAAATGTAATTTTCTCAGATATACAAAATAGTAGACTTCAAATTTTATGTAGCTGATGGATTTGGGATCACATATTGGTGAATTGTGTTTATTGATACTGCTTTGTTTTTCCTGTGCTTAATAAATCCAGTACCTAGATTCATCTATTCTGGACATGCTTAATGTGAAGGTTTTGCAGAACTACATCTGCTTATCTGGTAATTTCATTCCAGAATTTTGGATACTACTGGAAATTTTGCCTTATTTTGGAGGCAACACGTAAATCCATTTCATGGCTCTGGCAAACTGAGCACGCTCACATGTACTTGGGAGCATCCTAATGAAATGGACATAATAGGAACAGTAAACATAGTATTGTCATATATATCTGGTTGAAACTTGATTTTGAGCAAATCATTGATGGTGTTACGAAGAAGAAAGTGCCACTTACTAAAAAGAACTATGGGAGGTGCCAAATGTTGGGAACTGTCCTGGGAAGATTTAGAAACCCTTTCTTTAAAAAACTTTAATTGTAGATATGTACGTTTAGCAATTGATTGGACTCTAACACCTCCTGCTGATGATGGGTTTTCAAATTTTTTTGCAGAAAACTTAATCTTGACCGGAGACCAGAGAACAGTTAAACTTGTGGATTTTGGTTTAGCAAGAGAAGAGTCTGTAACAGAGATGATGACTGCTGAAACAGGGACATACCGTTGGATGGCTCCAGAGGTACATTAAATTCAGCATAATTTTTTTTTTTTTTTCCTTTCAATTTTACTTTTTATTTCCTTGCATATGATCACTTTTTAGGTTGCAATTGATTGGTTTGTTCAATGGTGGCAGTTGTACAGTACGGTTACATTGAGGCACGGAGAGAAAAAGCATTACAACCACAAAGTAGATACTTATAGCTTTGCTATTGTGTTATGGGAGCTGTTACACAATAAGTTGCCATTTGAAGGCATGTCAAACCTACAGGCAGCTTATGCAGCTGCCTTTAAAGTAATATATCTTTCTCGTCCATCTTAAATTTTATCTTCTTCGATTATTTTGATTATAGAAAAGTTGTCCCCACTAGTGTTCCTGCGAGTTAGTGTGGCTGATTGTTCGGGTTTCATGTTTGATGATTCAGAATGTGAGACCTAGCTTGGAAGATCTCCCAGAAGAATTAGCCATGATTTTGAGCTCGTGTTGGGAGGAGGATCCCAATGCACGGCCCAATTTCAGCCAAGTAATACAGATGCTCCTTCGTTATCTTTCCACCATCTCACCTCCCGAACAGATGATCCCTTCTCGGGTTTTCACCTCTGAGAACACGGTCTTGCCACCGGAATCTCCTGGTACAAGCTCTTTGATGGCGTTACGTAATGACTCGGGGGAAAGCCCTACCGGAGAGATGGAAATCAGACAAAAGGGTTTCTTCTTCTGCTTCAACCAGTGTTACTAACCTTAAAGCCTTCTGAGGGTTCAAAAAATGCTGCAAGGGAAGTAGCTGTAATGTAATACTTGTATCTTGTTGTGAAGAACCAGCTTGTAGGATGAAGAGGCTGCCTTAGGCTGCTGTTACTCAATTTACCCCAGCTGTATGGTCTTAGTTCTGATAACTTAGTTGATCATTAGCTAATGTAACAATAAATAAATAAGCCAACAATCTTGGTCTATCATGAAAAGACTTGCACTGAATAGTTGGGTTTGTTGTGGTTGTTGGTTGGTTCTTGCTGGGTAAAAAAATAACCATTGTTGCACGGGTCTTCTGGCCGTTGAATGTGGTAGTAGGGCTCATATGATGGATGATCCAACCCTGGGGGTAGGGTACCGTATTCTCAGGTATGATAGAAACTTATCGGCAAGTAGGAGGTTTTTATTTATTTAATATTTTTATTTATTTAATTTTTATTTATTATTATTTTTTTTTGGGAGCTAAATTCATATCAATGGGAAGTCTTTGAATTGAGAAAGCAATTCTCCACCACAAGAATATGATATGTTTCAGGATTCCTCATAACAAAACCTCCTCCGCAGGAGTAATCCAACCCATTCTAGGAGCAGCAGAAGGAATCTGATTTCAACTTTCTACTTGGAAGGTTCCATAACCACTTTCCAAAATTCCTGAAAATAATGAACAGCTTGTTCCATGATTAAAACAGGATTCCATGTAGCTCCATTGAACCTTGTGGTTTAGTCCGTCCAAATTTGTCCAACTAAAAATAAATAAAAATAAAAATAAAAATAGACTCAGTAGAGCCTAATCAGATATTATAAAAACATTCTGAACATGGGTTTTTGATTAAAAAAAAAAAAAAAAAAAACCTAAAACATTATCATGGGTTTTGATTGAATTGGACTATCAAGTGGCTTATGGTCATGGACTACTTAATAATTTATCCGGCATGAAAAGTTTTTCAATTTAACTTCAGCACTCTTTGAAACAGTCATTTTATTATGCAGATGACAAACCATGGTTTAACATAAAGTAAAAATAAAAATAAAAATTGGAGGTACACAATAATTCAAACTATTTCAATGCATTTTCACAAAGTATGGCTTAAAAATCAGAATTAAATCTGTAATTTGCACTTTATAAGGCTTAAATTACACACACAGAGAGTTAATGCCCTCCACATTTTAAGGCATTTATGCCTTCCCCCAAAAAAAGGCTGAATCTACAGTTTGACAATGACAAAAGAAATGGAATCATATGCTAACATTATCATTTAGAGAATATATGAAAAAAGGCATTGTTTGCCTATAAATTTGCAGTTCCTGTGTTGATAGTGTTAGTGAACAGAGCAAATAGAGCAGAGCAAGCAAAACACAATGTTGAGAAGCTCTGATGATGATTACATTGCCAGGCACCACCAAGGTTGGAGCACAACTTCCAACGACTACTACGCTCATGTTTCCCGGATAGAGAAGTCGCCGAGCATCCTCCATGACGCCCCCCAGTACCCGAATGTTCACCTGATCTTCAAGAACAAGGCCGTCCACGAGGAAGAACAAGTCGTCCCCCCCAAAAAACATGCTCCAGAGGCTAGCAAGAAAGTCCACTTTGTTGAGGCTGAGAAAACCACGGAATGTGACAGGAATGGAGGCAGAGGCGGCAATGCTCAGGAAGACAGCTTCGACGAGGATGCTAATGGCTTCATCACACAGAAGCACAAGAACTTTGAGCTGTGCAAGTGGAGGAGCTTCAAAACGTAGTGATAGCACACACATATTAGCAGCAGGCAAAGTACCACATATATGATGTTACTAATTGTGTGGTTAATTAGTTGGTTAAATAAAAATGCCTGTTTTTAGTTTGTACTAGTTCTAGTTAAAACTACTTCACATGGTGTTTGGATGATACATTTAAATGCCTATATATATATATATTGTGTAATGAAAAGCTTGGTATAGTACTTGACTTGTGGCTGTCTGGTGCCCATTTTGGTTTACATCTTTATGAAAAATCCCATATATATTTTTTAAGAGGAACAAGCTTATCTATATGAATCAGTTAATAGTTTTTGCATCAAATCTGGTTCTCTTGTAAAAATAACTTGTACTATTAATGGAATAGCATTTGATGGAGAAAAGTAGAGAATCCCTCTCATGTGCAAATTGTTTTGATTGGAGCAGCTCAAACAGCTCGAATTCGATTTGCAAATTCTGTTCTGCTATCCACGTTGAGGATAATATTAGGGGAGGAGGAATACCGAACTTAACGTGGGCATAGTTAGTAAGGAATGCTCCGATAGCATGTGAATTGATTAAGATTATTGCCTTAAATAGAACGGAATGGAAATACAGGATTCATGTAACCGGTCCCAAGTAGTTAAAAAGAAGAAGAAAAGAGTATTAATTATTGTTGTAAACGAATAGTGTAATATCATTGAGTTTTTTATCCTTAAAAAAATTGTTAAAGAAAAAGGCTACTATGCCTGTTTTTTTAATTAGTTTATTTTTTAAAAAATTTATTATTATTATTAATTTTTTTTTGAAAAGTTGGGTGTTATATTTACTTAACCATTAACCTGCATATATATAGTTGAATGAAACTAAACTTTGATGCTACGTAATGGGATTTTTGTCAATAATAACTTAACGACGAGAAACGTAACGTGTTCATATAATTAAGAAAAGATTATGTTGAGTTGAGTTGAACTGTGAATTAAAAATGTGTGTACTGAATCTGCGATGCAAAAACTAGAGAGGTGTGCTTGTGTTTCATTTGCATTCTTGCTTATTTCCTTGGCTTCTCAAAAGTTTGTTATGACATTCCTGCAACAATTTTCTGTAGTAAGCGCATTAAAATCATTCTCTGGAATCTCCCAAAACACTGTACAATAATCGATTTGGGAATAAAAGATCCTACCAGGACTCAATAATGATCAAACTTTTAGGATTCCCACATATATGTGTGTGACCGTGTGAGTAGGAGGATTCCTACTCTACTTTGGGTGTAGCTTGTCTCAGGTCACATTCCACCTCAAAAATGTTTCTTCTTCTTCATTTTTTTTTTTTTTTTTTTTTTTTTTGGTGAGTGATTTAAAGATAATTCCATGGAATTTCCCAAACCACCGTACAATAGCAGAATTGGGAATAAAAGATTGGTTTTCAGGACTCAACATGACTGAATTATCAGCTTTTAGGATTCCCAAAATTGTGGGTGTATTACTAGTCTAGCAGGATTCCCATAATATAGTCCACTCAGGTGAACTAATGTCTGCCGTAGGAAGTAGAGACATTTCTCTTATGAGTGTCGTTGACATGCGAGGATATAATCCAAACATAAGTTGAACATGACTGTTTTTTTGACGTATCATGATTATGTCTTTTTTAAATAAATATAAAAAAAAAATGTATCACCATCTCTATATTTGAAGATACAAGAAATCCCTCCTCCCTTTCTCTCTCTAGAATTCTTGTATTTCAAACCAAAAAATATCTCCCTTGTTCTTTTCATTACTTCTCCTATTTATAGATATTTACAAATGTTGATGGACTGCTGGATCTAGGCCCGTTCCTCCATGAGTTCTGCTCATCTTTGATGGGCTTATTCGCGTTCGGCCCATATGGCAGTGTCTCTCTATGGGCCTGACCCATCTGTACGGACCGGATGTCGCGTTTGCAAATCATATCTGGCCCATGTCATCTCGGGCCTCCTCAACTGCCCCCATAATTACCCCTTGTTTAATAAGGGGGTAATTATTGAAGGCGTCTCATCATGACGTTGACGGCTCGAGAAACCCACATGGGGGAACGGACAGTCAGATCCAGATCAATGTTCCGGGGCTCGATGAATTTCTCGCCTTCCTGACGCTTCGGCCCTCGGGTCCCCCTCGCCTTTATAAGGCTCTAGAATACCACTTCATGCCTTTTTACCGTCTCCATTATCAGTCAAATCTCTCTCTCTTTAGAACAGTGCTAAGCTTCTTCCGGTGAAATCCTTCAAGAGTCATTCTTCCAGCGGTCTCGCAGTGCTCTTTGTTGCTTTCTACCTCAGAGGTTAGTTTTGTTCCTTTTTACTTTCGGCAGGCTTCTTTTTACCCTTTTAGATCCTTCAATCACTTCCACCATAGTTGTAGATCTAGATGTTCTTCGTATGAGACTTAGACTTCCTGACAACATCCAAGTTAGGGTTTGCCCTAAGGATGTTAATATTATGACCGGTGCCGGCCTCCTTCCCGGCGAAGTTTTATTTTCAAACCTTCAACTGAATGTCGTTAGGTTCCCTCTGCATCCCTTCTTTAATTATGTCTTCAATAGACTGGGGATATCCCCCCTGCAGGTAAACCCCAATTTCTTTAGAATCATATCCGTTATGCTACTGTTGATTCGTGACAGAAGCCTGGACCTTGACCTCATAGATCTTATTCTGTGTTATAAGGTCAGTAAGATCCGAACTAACGAGCCCTTCTACCACCTCTACCCGATCGACAAGATGTCCATATATACGGACACAATCAAATCTGAAAAGGGTTGGAGGGATAACATTGTGGGCATTAGTGGGGCCTGGTCTTCGCTGGCTGCAGAGGATTACCCAATTCCGAGCGCCTTTGGCGTCTGTTCTGTTTCCTCATATAAGAAATTCAAATCTCATAAAAACGATTGTCCCTGCGAAACATGCGTTCCTCGCTTTTGTACTTTCTTATGTCGCTCCTTATGCATACCTTGTGATGACTTGAGCTACAGTGTTTGCAGGGATAAGAGTAATTACTTGAAGAAATACGTTCTGAACGATATTCCTTCTTGCTCAGACCTCCTCACTTCAGACAACCTTCTAGCGCTCTCATCCCTCGGCTATACCATGAGCAAGCTTCAGATTCCATCATTTGGTAGGAGGAAAAATACTCCCCCACCCACTTCTGCTGCTGGAGCAACCTCCTCTCCTGCATCAGCCTTTTCCTCAGCCACCATCTCTGACACCATCCCGAGCACGGTGGCTATTGATTCTGTTGTCAGTACCCCTGCTACCAACCCAAGCGCATCTCCACAAATCACTACTGCCCATGTTGCCGCTGGGGGCGCTCGGGACAAAGAACGAGACAAAAGGCCTCATCTTGACGGCGGAGTCGACCCCGAGGAGGAACCTCTTATAAGAAGGACCCGGGTCTCTGGGCCGAGTGCTCTCTTGCATCGCCCAGTCAGAACTCCTGCCCCCTCTGGGCCTGTCGCAGCTGGTGCCTCTGCTTCTGCTTCAGCTTCTCCTTCTCTTCCCACTTTACCACCGTGGGCTCCTCGGTACACCCGAACGGATGGAACGTTCGTGAAGCCGAACGAGACCATGCTAAAGGATGGCCAGACTGCCATGGCGTATTACAGGAGCATGTGGACTCCGAAAGACCTTGAGGCGGCGAAAGGTCTATCCCAAAAGGATGTGTTCAGCCGCTTCCCCCAATCTGCCATGGAGGTGACTTTTATTTCCCAACTCATGAATCCTCTCATACTATTTGGTCTTACCTTCGTCCGACCAGACTATCAGTTTAACCATTATTAATGTATATCTATGCAGACTTTGTTCGGTATGATGGCTATGCAGAAGCAGGTCGAAATAGGGAACGCCAGGGCCCGTAAGTTCTCTGATAGCCTGGAGGTGGCCAATAAGGAAAACGACCTTCTCGCCAGCAAGAATACCGAGGTATTGGCTCGGCTTGAAAAAACCGAACAAGAAAGAGATGTCTTGAAGAAAGAAAACGACTCTCTTCAGGATGAGAAGGATGCCCTCCAGCTTGAAAAGAGTGTCTGGCAGACTGAGCGTGATTCAATCAGAGACGAAAAAGGAAGAGCTCCAGCTCCTTCTGGCTGATGAACAGTCTGCTCGGATGGCTTTTGAGAAGAGAGTTCTGGACGAGCGTACTGCTCTGATTGATACCATCAGCAGAGTGAACGGTGGGATGCTGGCTCTTCATGCTCGGTTCTCAAGGGTCGGCGCTCTTAGATATGCTCAAGGATTCTGAGAAGGTTTCTCCGACCGAGTTCCGGATGAGGGACAGACCAGCTCAACTCCAGATGAGGTCGATAAGGATTTAGGGATTGACCCTCTAGGGGTCTATGTTGACCCAGAACCCACCGAAGCGGAGCACATATTTGATGAGTTCCAGGACATTGCTTCCTCTAGGATCACTACAGCTCCTCCTACCGCTCTGCCTCTAACCGTTCCTCAATCGTGAACTGTGGTTCCTCCCATAGCCACTGCTGACGTTGGCCCCCAGCAGAATGACTCTGTTATTCATCTTGATTCCCCACCTCGCGAGGGTGAGATGGCTGATGGGACCGAGGAGGCGGGTCGGCACAACCAGGAGGCTGTCGGTACTGAGGCAGCTAGCTAGGACTCCTCCGGACTCTTCGATTCCATACTTTTTTGTAACAATGTGACTTGAATATTTCATTTTTTGTAAATCCAATGCTTATTATGAATGAGATGACAGAACTCTTTTTCTCTTTCTCCTTTGTGTTGCGCTCTGTTCAAACCCATTTTCAATATATATATACCTTTTCTCTCTTTTTTTTTTTTTTATATTCACTTTGTCGTGTGCTTGTTTATGGCAAGTGCTTGGCGTTCGGCTTGCGGTGCCAGCTGCCATTTATCTTACTCAAGTGCCTGGCGCTCGGCTAGAATTCCACTTGCCACTTGGCTTTTCATTTTTCAGCAAGTGTCTGGCGTTCGGCTTATGGTGCCAGCTGCCACTTATCTTGCTTAAGTGCCTGGCGCTCGGCTAAAATGCCACTTGCCACTTGGCTTTTCATGTTTTAGCAAGTGTCTGGCGTTTGACTTATGGTGCCAGCTGCCACTTATCTTGCTTAAGTGTCTGGCGCTCGGC